GGAAAGTTTGAGGTTCGTTCTCAACCATATAAGTTAAGAAGTCTTGACCAAAAGATTTGGATATCCTAGCCCTTTTACTCCTTCTGGGCTCATCTAAAACCTCAATTTGATCATCACCTGAATCATCAATATGATCATCCTCACTAGCAAGCTCATCAAATTTCTCCAAAGACCTTGGAACCTTTCATGGGTTCGGCAAGGAAAAATGTCTTCAAAGAAACATGCATTCCTTGACTCCATAATGGTATTCCTGTGTATGTCTGGAATTTCAGACTTATGTACAAGAAACCGATATGCACTACTATTATGTGCATAACCAATGAATATACAATCCACAGATTTCAGGCCTATCCTAACCCGTTAGGGTGTAGGAATCGCCACTATTACAAGACATCCCCACATTCGTAAGAATTTATAAGAAGGCTTAACGCCTTTCCATAACTCATACGGGATCTTGTCCACTTCGTTTCAACACAAGTTTCACACTTGTGTTTCGTCAAAACAACCTTGTCGGACTCAAAAAACCATGCTTACTGAGAAGAGACCTTGAGACGAATGTCCGAAACATATAGGACTTCATTCAAGGTTAGCTCTTTTCCTGAGGTTAACATCAGGACCACCTTTCCCTCAACAAATGAGGTAGTAGAGTTTCCCATAAACAACTTCTCACCATTTGTAACCGGTTTGATAGTTGTAAACAACTCCTTCTCGGAGCAGATGTGGTTTGTAGCCCTAGTAAAACTAAAAGCCTCGCTACCACAGTTGTAGCACTTACCAAAGAACCGAGAACCAGGTTCCCGCGGCTTGTATGCCAGCTTCTTTGCAACACCACCCCTTGGCCCCAATTTAGAGGGCTTCTTTCTTATTCCAGAAGATTTGCCATGTTCAATGACATGGGCCTTCACTGAGGTGGTACTCCCTCATTTCTTTCTATTATCCTCCTCATTACGGAGTCGGATAATCAAGTCTTCTTTGTAGAATTTATACAAAGTTTTAAACAAATCCTTGTGTCACAATGATTATGAAACTCTCAAAATCATATCACAGTAAATACATTCCCAGTTTGTTGGTCAAACCTCCCAACCTGCTTTGGCCGAGGTAACCATCATCCCGGCCAAAGAGTTCCAAAAATTTTGTTAGTCATACCTGCCAACTTCTTGCAGCCTAGATCCTCATCTTGGCTTAGGAGAGCTAAATGTTGGTTATTCTTGCCAACCTTCTTCAGCACGGATCCTTATCTCGGCTTGAAGAAGAGCTAAATGCTTGGTCATTCCTACCAAACTTCTTGATTGCCCCATAGTCGGGCAAAGACTTGTTGGTCAAACCTGCCAACTTCCTGCAGCCTAGATCCTTATCTCGGCTTAGGAGAAGTGTTGGTTTTTCCAGCTAACCTCTTCAGCCCAGATCCTAATCCTAGCTGAAGAGAGCTCAAAGTTAGTTATTCCGGTCAACTCTGAGTGAAATGTTTGGTTTTTTCAGCTAAATGTCCTGCAGCCTGGATCCTTATTCTCGGCTTAGGAGAAGTGTTGGTTTTTCAAGCTAACCTCTAAGTTGGTTATTCCTGCCAACCTAGAGTAAAGTGCTTGGTTATTCCGACCAAACGTCCTGCAGCTTGGATCCTTATCCTGAGCTTAGGAGGGGTGTTGGTTTTTCCAGCTAACCTCTAAGTTGGTTATTCCTGCCAACCCAGAGTAAAGTGTTTGGTTATTCCGACCAAACGTCCTGCAGCCTGGATCCTTATCCTGGGCTTAGGAGGGGTGTTGGTTTTTTCGGTCCCTGTGCCTTGCACATATTGTCCGCTTTGGCATTCCGATTGCACGGTTTTATTTCTTCTCTACTGGGGGAAAAGGCCTATGTAAGGTAAGAGGAGCCAGCCTGCTTATAAGGTGGGAAAGTAGTCCCTCACAGACCGATGTGGGATTTCCCGCACATTAGCCCCTAGCTGCGTTGGCTCCGATCACCTCGGAGGGAGTTCCCACAGACGGCGTCAAATAAAGCCACCGGTCCCCGTGCCTTGCACATATTGTTCGTTTTGGCATTCCGACCGCACGGTTTTGTTTCTCCCCTACTGGGGGAAAAGGCCTATGCAAGGTAAGAGGAGCCAGCCTGCTTATAAGGTGGGAAAGTAGTCCCTCACAGACCGATGTGGGATTTCCCGCACATTATCTATTTAAAATCTTGAAATGAGTAAATAATATTCTTAGTTTGCATTATTGTTTGGATGAGTAAAAATGAGAGAAATGCGAAAAATGAAAATAATTTGAAAGAAATTTATTTTTCTTATAATTCTAATTTTGAATCTATTCACAAAATAGATAAATCGGAAGAATATAGGAGCCAATAAATTATTATTTTTTCATAATACTAAAGTTTTCTCTTTAGATATAAAATAAAAGAAAAAAAACTAACACTAATAAAAGACTATTTTGATAAATATTAATAACAAGAAACAATTTATTTTTGGGTGTGTACCATATACTCCAGAGATAGCATTTTTGATATTTTGTTATGACCTATTGTGACATTAGTTATGGTTTGATTATGATTTATGATTCATTCTGATATGGTAATGACATATTATGATTATTATTTTTTATTATGATAAAAATAATTTTTGCTTATACCTTATGTAATGTTTGGTTATATGTCATTATTTTTTAGTTATGATTAAAAAACATTTAAGGGTAAATTACCAATAAATCCTAATAGTTAGACTTAATTCCTATCTAGTCCTATTGAAAATAAGTCATAGGAAAAATGTTGTTAAAAATAATTTTTTGTAACGATTTTTTGTATATGTTACTAAAAATTGACAATCAGTGATTTTTTTTATAGTGATTTTCATAAATTATTACTAAAACTTAAAATTAATGATATTTTCGTTGACAAAATTTTTAAACTGTCCCTGAAAGTTAAAAATTAGTGACTTTTTTTTTAAACTGTCGCTAAAACTTATAATTACTGATATTTTTTGTAACAAAATTTTCAACATGTTGCTGAAAATTAATAACTAGTGCATTTTTTTAGGATTCGGGGTGCCTGCTGTGCTTAAAGCACAGCAGGAGGTGCCATGCATACAACACACACTAATAAATAAAAAAAAACAAAGGAAAAATTATATTAAGAAAAAAAAAAGAAACCAAAACCATGGGTGGAGTAGCACAGCAGTGCCATGTTATTAATTATCATAAAATTTATTGAACAATAAATTCACTTATTAAAACCTATATATGACTCCTCTAAAATTTAATCGTGCCATCTGTAATAATCAACACTACAATACATATGATACACATCTTAAAAGAGAGCAAACATTAGTATGACGGTAATATTACGTGACGGTATTATCATTCAATAAATAATCTTATTTTACAGTAAGAATCACAACTTGATTGGATTGATGGGAGACATGCTTTATCCACTTAATAATTTTGTGATTTTCTATTAGTCAATAATATCATAAAATGGTACCTAATATGTTTTTCTTAAAAATGATGTATATAATAACATGACCCCACGAATGAAAGGAAAAATAATGAAAAAAAGAAGAAGAATGATAGAGATGATTGAGGGAAGCTAATAGGAAAGAGAATAGAAGCAAAAGGATTAAAAAAAAAAAAAAAAAAAAAGGAAAGGAAAGCACAACCCAGGACAAAGAAATGAAACGACAAAGGAATGGGGGTTGTGGCATGGGCCGCGGATTTGGCCGCCATTTTAAATTTAATTTAATTTATTTTATATTTTTATTTACTTGATAAGTAAGGCAAGGATAAAAATTAAAAAAAGAAAGAAAAAAAAAAGATGAATAAAAAATATTAAAAATGTGAAGATAAAAAGAATAAAATAAATATAAAAAATAAATTAAATTTTCATATAAAAATCTCACCACCTATTTAACCACCTATTTAAAATCAAATAAAACATCAATACTTTAAAAATATTTTAATAAATAGAGTATCAATAGCAACTCTCGTTTTATTTTTGAACATAGAAAGTGAGTTTTCCATTTCTATCCTTACAATTATTAGAATTTGTGAATTACATTGGTGAACATTATGTAAAGTATAGTTTGTGAATTAAAGTATAGTTTGTTTTTCTTATTTTATCCCAATATTCAAACAAAACAAAAAATCATTTGGGTAACAAATGGGGTACTTACGTGTAGGTCTTAATAAATGAATTTATTATTTAATAGGTCTTATGAAAAAATTTATCATAAAAAAGTTTCTAATTGTAAGTTTTAGTAACAATTTATAAAAATCATGATAAAAAAAAGTCACTAATTATTAATTTTTGGCGACGTATATAAAAAATTGTCATAAAAAAATTATTTTTAACGATAATATTATTAAAACTTATTTTTAATAGGATTTGATAAGAATATTATCAAGAAAATATTATCAAAAAAAAGTCTCTAATTGTAAATTTTAGCGACAATTTATAAAAAATCATGACAAAAAAAATCACTAATTATCAATTTTTAACGACGTATGTAAAAAATTATCAAAAAAAATTATTTTTAATAACAATACTATAAGACTTATTTTTAATAAAATTTAATAAAAATTAAATTAAATTATTAAGACTTATTAATAATTTACCTAACAAAATGTATATAAAATCGTGATTACTCTCCCTCCACCATGCCCTCCTAGGACCAATACCAAATAACTTTTCAAACAAAAGAAACAACTTTTCCCCTCTACTATGGCCAAGTTTGGGTACTTTTAAAAAAAGTCAAAAAGTTACTGAAAAAGTTAAAAAGTTAACAATATTCACCAAAAGTCAACAATTACGGCTGCACAACTCTCAATTCAAATTTTTCCCAACAAATCAATTTTTACAATTTTTTATTACACGTTTTTCAATAAAAAGTCAAAAAATTAACCCAAACATCCATATTTTCAACCTTAATTTTTTAATCCAAAAAGACAAAAAGTACACTTTTTTAATCTTCCCAAAATTGGCCTAACTTTTGTCTCTATATATTTTCTTTCAAGGTTCCCACTCAGGGTGTTGGAGATAGTTTACAGCGAGAGTGGGAAAAGCAAAGTTATGTCTAAACCTGAGACTGAGCAGCTGACGGAAGAAGAGCTCTTCGATGTCCTCACCAAAACTGGTCAAAAGACTGGCAACAGGAAACCCAGGTAAACCCTCCATCCCCCTCTCTTTCTTTCTTTTTTTTATTTTTTTATTTTTTTATTTTTTATTTATTTTTCATTCGATTCTGTTTGGTAGAACTATCAGCCTCGTGGATGTTTGATCTTTTGCTTTTGCTAATTTTTTGGGATTGATATTGTCGAATTATTATTACTTGATGGTCTGTGATTTGTGTTTTTGATTAAACTGAGATTATAGCCTTTGATAGAGCATAATGGCGAAAAATATTGATGTAGGGTGCCCCATTTGATTTGGACACAAGGGTTTGGTTTGGTTTGGTTTGATGCATCCTATTTTTAGTTCTTTGGTGGTTTCAAGTTTCAGTACTTATCCCGTGTTTGGTTGCTGAGAAAACACAGCAATAGGAATATAGGATTATAGGAAAGAAACAGAAATTTGAATGTTACGTTTGAAGTTGTTTTCATTTCCTTAAACTTAACTGCATAATTATATTTGTAGTTCTTTGGTGGTTTTAAGTTTCAGTTCTTATGCTGTGTTTGGTTGCTGTGAAAACACATGAATAGGAATATAGGATTATAGGAAGGGAAAAGAAATTCAAATGATAGTTGTTTTCATTTCCTTAAACTTAACTGTATAATTATATTTTAGGATAAATTACAAATACACTTCTTAAGGTTTGATTAAAATACGAATCGCCCCCTGTGATTTTGGAAATTATATTCCACCCCTTGAGGTTTCTAATTTCATAACAAATCGCCCATTTTATTAATAAATCATCAAGTCAATTAACAATTTTTAATGATCTTAGAAATATGTTTCAATTAATAATTTAGGTAATTTTATTATTGTATAGGAGAGCAATTATGAATTTCAGTTTTTAGTTAATTCTGTTAAATAAAAAATACTAACAAGGAGATATTTGTAATTTTTCAAATCCCAGGGGGCAATCTGTACTTTAAACAAATCTCAGGAGGTGTATTTGTAATTTACCCTATATTTTATTAGGTGTAGTTGGGTTGTGTTTTTCGTTTTCTTGGTTCCACGTGTAACAGATAACATATTGATATGCATGGAGACTTAATATTGTTGGTGGTTTGGTAGACGTATAAAAATTCTAAATAATACCATAAATGAGAAATTTTTGCCTTGCTGGTATACTGCAAAAGGTTGTTCAAACTTGTTGGTTGTGAATTTATGATAAATATTCTAGAGAAGATGCAAGTGAACTTTAAAACTGAACATTGCAAGAAAGAAAATTATATTGAACTGATTTAGGTATTATAAAATTGAAAAAAAAAAAGAAGTTTAGTCATATTTGTCAATTTGATGGGCCAAAATAAGAAAAAATGCATTTGAAATGTTTTTTGATCAGCGAAAAAAAGAGAAAAGACAGCCAGATGTGTTGGCTTTTGCAGACTTTGTAGATGGTTTGATTAGTTAGTTGTTAGTTTTTAGTCCTCTCTTGAGTTTGGTGTTCTAAGTCTTTTGGCTCTGCATTTTTGTATTCTTTGCATCATTTCAATGCTTTTTCAATAAAGGTTGGTTATTTATCAAAAAAAAAAAAAAAAAAAAAATTAAAAAAATTGAAGAAGCAGAAGAAGAAAGAAAAAAAGAAGCATTTGAAATCAATACAAATTATCACCTCCTCCTTCGCTCCTTAGAAGATAATAAATAACAAATGTGATACAAATGCTATTGATTCTCATGTTATCCACCTCAAAGCCCCACAACAAATTGCTTTCCTTAACCTCATTGCTCGTCCTTCGATAGACAGGTTGGGTCTGGCAGAGGCATAGTAAATTGTGTTTCTTTAAAGATTGATTTTAGGAGCACCAACCACTTACTATTTATGTTGCATTGATGGCGCGGAACATTTAATTGCCACCAATGTCTCTTTTTTATATAGGTGAATTGTTTGACCCTTTTAGTCAATTTTCTGCCATCCTATTAGATAATGAATTACTAAACCCTTTTGTTATTTATTTTGTTGTGAGAGTTGATTCTATTGATGCCATAGATTTGTGGACAATCTCTCTAATGTTGTTGTTTTTTGTTTTTGTTTTGTTTATTTATTTATTTTTACATGTATATAAAAACCATGGTATTTGTACGTTACCTGTCATCCTGTTAGAAAACTACTTGTAAAAAAAAAGTTAGGAAACTGTCACGGACTTGTGTAATACTTCATTCTGATATTTTCTTTACAATGAACAATTTGGTATCTATGTAGAGGAGATGTTCATAGAGATGGGGATTACCATCGAGCTGTCCATGTATGGATTTATTCAGAGAGTACACAAGAACTGCTTCTTCAACGACGTGCTGACTGCAAGGATTCATTTGCCGGGTTGTGGGACATCTCTAGTGCAGGCCACATATCTGCTGGAGATTCATCCCTTGTTACAGCCAGGTAACTTAATTCATTTCATTCTTATAAATCTACATTTTGGTGAAGCTAGTTTTTCAGGGATTTATGCCCTTATAAGTTTTCTTAAGCTTTGATGTTTAATTCTCTGATCTCCATGCCATTTCTTTTCCCCCTTAAGATTAAAACTTATAGTTCCTATTCCCTATATATATGTGTGTGTGTGTGTGTTTTCATTGTTCAATTGCTTACCTGTTTAATCTAACTGACCTGCTCGGGCTTCCTTCTGCCTGGTCTAACTTTGTTGGCGATTAGGCCATAGGAGGAGCGTGGGTAGCTAGGAATACAGACGCGAAGAAGTGATAGTGTCCATGTCCTGTAGGTCACTTGCTATAAAATTTTTATAGGCCAGGTATCTCTATCATTAGATGATTTTTCAAAAGAAGATTTTATGAAGAATTATTTATTAATTTTTTTTTAGAGAATCATATGGTATAACTTCCATTAGTAAGAAGATTGATTGATGAGCTTAAATTTCCTTTTTTCAGCTATCACTTTGTATTACAATCTTATAAGTTATCTGTCAGCAAATTCTTGTAATTTTCTCCTTTTCAATATGGAAACTAAGGTCTAATTTGTGTTTATCTTTTTTATTTTTTATTTTTTAAAATATATATTTTATGTCTTTCTCTTCTTTGTTTTATAGAATTGGGAAAGTACCACAAACTACTATCCTTCAGCATAAAATTAATCTCCCACCACATGTTTGCATTTGCTTAAATTTCCTTTTTTAAGCTATCACTTTGTATTACAATCTTATAAGTTATCTGTCAGCCAATTCTTGTAATTTTCACCTTTTCAATATGGAAACTAAGGTCTAATTTGTGTTTATCTTTTTTATTTTTTATTTTTTAAAATATATATTTTATGTCTTTCTCTTCTTTGTTTTATAGAATTGGGAAAGTACCACAAACTACTATCCTTCAGCATAAAATTAATCTCCCACCACATGTTTGCATTTGTCACTATTTCTTGGAATATAAATTAGTTTCAAGAAGGTCCCGGAATTGCAACTTTTATTGCCTTGGCAATGCTACAAGATGCTTTAGTTGTACTGATATTTAAATTGACTAGTTTTTCATATGTCAACTTATCTGTTTGAGTTTAGTCAGTCACCCTCTCTTTATTCAGATGAAGTTCTGGTGGAGAAGTATTATAAAAGGTTATGGTCCTGCTGCCACTAATAACAACTACAGTAAGCGTCATTCTTCATTCATTCTTTTGATGCTTTTCCCAGAACATCACCAAGAAAGTAGATCATTCAAATAAACTTTTGCTGATGTGTGTTGTCATGTTTTATTTGAACAACCCTGCTGTCACTGCTTCAGGATAGCTGGCAGCTAGTAAGTGTCTGATTCCATAAGCATATTTTTTTATACTAAGCATATAATTTGCTAAGTCAGATTTCTTTTAGGCTATGTTTGGATGGAAGGAATCAAAGAGAAGGAATGGAAATCCTCTTTGGAATTCCATTGCTAGGAATTGATTTATGTGTAACTGCAATTTAAGTGTTGAGATTTTCCAAGAAATTTCTGTCTAATAATGGTAAAATTTTAAATATTTGGGATGATCTTTCTTTAACTCTTGAATACTCTAGGAATGTGAGATTCCCATGGGGAATGTGGGAATGAGATCCTCCCCTCAGTGTGGTAGTCTCATTTTGGCTTGGGAAGATAACCCAGAATTGCATTCCATGCCTTGAATGCACCCAAACACAGGAATGAAGGAACTTGGAATGAGATACACCTTCTGTCTCTCCATTTATGTCATCGAAACATAGCCCTAGATATTCTTTAAATCCATATAATAAATTTTGGCACTTGGTACAAATTACAATTGTTGGGTTTGACGCACTCTGGTGTTAAAACTTACTGCCCTTTAAATCATGCTTGTATTTGATACAAATTGTTGTATGCTTGCAGAAGGGAGCTTCATGAAGAGCTTGGTATAATCCTTCCGAAGGAGGCATTTGAATTGATATTCATTTTTCTTCAAGAATGGTTGGTAGATAAAACCTCCTTGTTTCTGTTGTCGAAATTAAGTTTCCTCTTTGTTTTCCTATCATTTAGTTCTCAGTAAGAAGTAATGTTTTGAGGTGTCACTACTCATTCTGTGAACTGTTACCTTTGTTTTGTTTTGTTTTGTTTTTTTTTTCTTCCTGTTTCTTTTTTTCTCCCTCCCCCGTTGAAGCCTCAGTTTCTTAGCTTGCAACTTGTGCTTTTTATGTTTTAAATCAGATACATAGGGTTTGAGTTTGTTCATTTGATTACCTTTCTTTACTAAAGTGTCGATTTTGCAGCATTTACATGTTTACTTAGTAAATTTTATGTCTCATGTATGGAGATTGCATCTATTGGAGGTTAGATCTACAAAAAGATATATAAACCTATAGAAGAATTTCTTGGCTATCATGGGGTGTCACCAGTCCATACAGATGCATGCAATAACCTGTAACACCTGCACTGGGTAGCGGTGTGCTTGATAAATGTAATTCTTGAGCCAATGTCTACTATGCTATTTGTGTGGGTTATATGCTCACCTTTCGAGAGGGACTTCCAAAAGAATAAAAGAAGAAACCTTTTAGATGGTTAAAAAAAAAAATCTTATTTTCATTTTTGTCTCTCAAGTTTTTGATTGTCAATGGGGAGTAAAACTACTTTAAATTGTTTCAATCTCCTAGGAGGTGTTGACATGAATGGAATATACGTATATATGAGCCTTGGAGACTGTATTCTTGAAGAACAGAAATCAAAAGATGTCATTTGGAATTTGGACTAGTTTTTCCATTTCCATTTCTTTCTAGTCATTTTCCTGGCGATCTGGGTCATTTTGCTCAGGATCTCTTGTTTTTGAGATCATCATAGTTCTTGAAAGTATACAATTCATGTTCTTCCTTGAGGAGAGGAAGGAGGGTAGCCTTGTAAACTTAGGCTGTCATTAGTATGTTTCGTGTAGTTCAGTCCATGATCAGGGCTTTGTTCCTCCTTGTTTTTATCTGATTGAGGACGTGCTCTTTTTTTTTTGAGAGTTTTTTGGTTTCAACTTACACTTAACAAATTGCTCTGGTTGGACAGAATATTTGAGCAGGATCCCGGCCGCTAACTTGTAAATGTTTGGGTAAGGCCTGGATGGTGAGAAAAAACTGAATGAGAGAGTGCATATGCTAAGGGTTCAACTTTGGAACCTCATGGTATTGGCACGTAATGGCAACCAGTGGGCCCAATGAAATCATAACTTAAGCCTTTTATGCTAAGTAGTAAAACAATATCTAAGGAGGAGCTTGGTTTGCCTTAGACACTGTATGAGACATTCACTTTTGCTAAGGAGATGTAGTGTGCAGTACATCTATTAACATATTTAGACTCTTGAGCACACCCACAACTAGGGATATTGGATTTTTTGTTGGGGGAAAAGAATGTAATGAATCCAACCAGTTTGAGCATTTTGCTTGTATCTAATCTTTCATTCTAGAAATATGGTTGACAGCCTGATGCATCCAGATGGTTTGAGGACAAAAGTTGGACATGTTCAAATTTATCTTGTTAACACAAAACTTTAACAAAACTAGCAAAGTATATTTCTGGAGAATAATTAGAATAAAGTATTTAAAACATCCAAGCTTTAGATGTGGAGGTGATATTTTTCTGTAGGAGAAATCCACAGGGCCCTTCCTCTCACAGGGTGTGAGAAACGGGGTTGTGGGCCCAACAAAAATGAGTGTGGATTTAAGAGTTTCCTTTTCCATGTTATGTAATTTAGACTTCAAGGTGTATCTATATATGCAAGTCATTTGTAGGTCAGTCCTTACCATATCAATGCCTTTTTTCTACAAAAGGTTTCCTGTCTCATGACATCTGTACAAAAGGTTTCCTGTCTCATGACATCTGTACTGTAGTTTAAATTTTGTATATATATCATATTTCCTCTTTTTTTCTTTGGAATTTTGTGCTCATCTCCTGAAGCTTAATGTTAGTCAAGATATTTTTTATGCTTGGTCTACTTCTCATTTTTAGCCTTGTTATGCTCGATTTGGAACTTCTTGTAGCCAATAACAATTCACTGTTGTATCTAATTGCAGTGTCTTAAATGATGGAAAATTCATCAATAATGAATTCAATGATGTATATCTGGTTACAACACTAGCTCCGATTCCTATGGAGGCATTTACTCTTCAGGTGAGGAAGATAATATTCAGATAATGTCATAATTCCTTTCAAATAGTGTTTATGAGTCAGTCCTCTTAAGAGTGATATCATAATTAGTCCTTTTACTTCATTCTAATTTTCTACTTCTTTTGTAGATATTGGAAGCATTTGAATTTCATTGATAGATAACAAATCTTATCAACAAAATAGTTGATTTAAAACTTTTCTGATTGCTGGAACTTTGTTTACACAACATCCAAGTGCCTTCATTGTGACATCAAGTTGGGTTTACAATTATTTTCGTTATAATTGTGTTGTGCCTAGCTAAGTGTTCAGTTAGTTGTGTGTTCCATGCACCACCTGTTGGAATTATGTTTTGAGTCTTTTGACTATCTAGAAATTGTTAATTGTTTGGATATTGTTTGTTTTCCAATTTTTAACATTTGATGTGTTACTAATGTATTATAACTCTACATAAGCCGATGAGAATAAAGTCAAAGAAAAAAATTGAGGTGAAATTCAATCTGTGATTGCTATGATGTTGAACTTGAGTGAATGTTGAACTTGAGTGATTGGTTTGTCATAAAGTTTTTGATATGATATTAGATGATGATGTTGAGTTTGACACATTGGTGGACCCAGAAATACAACATTTATTGATAACGCTCATATACAGAACACTTGTACACTAGAATTGTACATAAGACACTCAAAGCACTTTCTTCACACACTACACAACTGAGATACTATTCACGCTTGGACTCCTTCACACCTGCACACACTCTTGTAGGACACTTGATTACACCACTCATATCACTCTTCTTTCACTCAACTACTCAATTGTCCAATACCTAGTACATCCACTTGTCTCATATTTATACTAGTTGAAGAACTTTCTAAAATACACTCATACTTTCACTACACTCTAGAACAATTTAGATTACTCTAGTACATATTAGAGCTTTCTATACTTTTCTAAAATATTCTAGAACCTTCCGGAACTTTCTAGATTTCTATAGTTTTTTCCAAATTTCTTCAATGTTCCAAAATCTTCTAGGATGTTCTAGAATCTTCTGAATTTCTCTAGGTCTTTGTAGAATCTTCTAGATCTTTCCGGAGTATTCTAGATTCATGTGGATACTTCTAGAATATTTTAGAGAGAAGATTCTAGAGAGTGAGGAGAGTTAGTGATGACTCTCAACAGATGATTCTCATGTGGCCCGTGTGATACCAAGGCATTCACCTTTTAGCCTTCAGAATTTTATGGTTTTCCTATTCTTGCAGGTTTGGCAGGCATCAATTGGTCTTTGGTCTCTAGGTTTTTTATTTTTTTATTTTGATCCTGTATTACAACTCAATTGCTGCATTTTCCTTTACTCCTTCCTAAATATTTCTTTCTAGCATAGCTTGGAATGTTGTACTTTGAGATGAACAAAACATTATAACTGAATGTTTTTTGTACCTATCCTGTCCAGAGGAATCTCAACGTGTCTTTTTGTCTTTTCATTTTTGGTAGGTATCGGAAGTCTCTGCTGTTAAATATATCCCTTTTGAGGAGTACAAAAGCTTGCTTGCAAAAGAAGATCCTGAATATGTTCCCTATGATGTAAATGGGCAATATGGTCAACTTTTTGACATAATTGCTAAAAGGTAAGTCATATAGAACAATTGTGGGAATCCCATACATTTAAGTTGAATTCAAAGCCAATAAGAAACAGAGTGAAGCATTCTCTGGCTACAGAAGAAAAATAAAAAACAATACAGCCTTGTTTGGGTACACCCCTTTGATTATTCATTGCTTTTGTTTTATCTTTTAAAATAGTTTGACAAGTTAACAAATTTGTTAGTGATAAATAAAGCTTCCATTTGTTGTTGCGGATATGATGTTGAAATCAAAACTTTGTACGGGACAGAAAAAAAGGATATGGCTTATCTTGATGCTGACCAATTGGAATATTTAGATTGATTCCCTATAAAAGTATATAAATTGATTGAGTTATGGCGTTTTCCTCATGGATCTCTGAATTTTCACATAGTAACTTGTGCTCAGGTAAGTTTTTCAATGTAAAATTGCTCCAGGTACACAGCTAAGATGGAGACACGGAGTTTGGCTCTACAAAAACAGCTTTCTCGTTATGCTCCCATCTCCCTTGATTCTGAGGTTTGTCAACTTCTTGTTTTCATTTGCATATTCTCTATTATAATTGTTATTCTTGGATCATTTTTATGTAAAACCTTAATTTTGAACCAAAGCTGCATAGAGAATAAGGTCATGTTAATTTCTTGGGCGACTTACAGTAATAGTCCCTGTAGTTTAGGACTTATGTTACTTTGGTCATTGACTTTTCAATTGTGATACATTTGACCCTGAATTTTGAATCTTGTTCCAAATAAAGATAATCAAAGATGTTTCCTTTGCAAGCGGTCTATTTCAAGGGTAAAGTCGTCATCCAACTTATTTTGTGTTGGTTAACTTGTATGTTGTTTGAAATGTAATGACATTTTTTTTTCGATGAATAATGCTGAAACTTTCTTGGTTGTAAAGTTAAGTTTTGTTTGGTTTGGTTTTTAGAAATTTTTTCTAAGAAACTAAAAATTAAATTGTTGAAAAAAAATAAAAGTACATCATTTTTATATAATTTTATCTGTTGGGAGAGTACAAATAATTTTTTTTGGATATTTATTTTCTTTAAATTATTTTGTATTTTTTCAAAAGTTAAATATGGCGACAACTTTGATGTTATTATTAAACCAATCCATTAAATCAAAAAAAATCTAAAACTAAAAATATTTCAGGAGATTCAGGAGATTTAGTGTACAGTTAGTTGGCTTGAGAGTCGCTTACTTGTTTTGTATGGTTGGTTAGAATTGAAAATTGATTCGGATATGTTTGGCTTTTTAGAGTTCTTGGATGAGGTTATTGGTTAGAGGGTGATTCCTCTTGTTGGGGTTTTGTATTTCTTTGCATCATCTTGATACTTTTTTAATATAGGTCGCTTGCTTATTTATCAAAAAAAAAAAAAACTAAAAATATTTCATATATGAAACATATCAATTACATATTAAAAGCTTAATAACCATCCATTACATGATAACCATCCAAAAATATCTGTTAACAACAAATACAACCCATCTATTACATGATAACCATCTAAAAATATCAACAAAAACGACCACCCATTACATAATCATCATCTAAACAAATACTAAAATTAATTTAGTAAAAAAATAAAAAATAAAAATGTAAAAGATTTATCATTTTTATATAATTTTATCTTTGGTTGGTAGAAATAATTTTTAAAAATTTAAACATAATTTTTTGACATTTATTTTTGTCAAATTAGTTTATATTTTATCAAATTAACAACTTTACCCTTGAAATGGAGCAACGGTGTCTTCAATTGTCTTTATTTGGAACAAGATTCAAGATTCAAAATTCAAAATTCAAAATTCAGGGTCAAATGTGTTACAATTGAAAGGTCAGGGACCAAAGTGACAAGCCCCAAACTACAGGGACCGTCGGTGTAATTTGCCCTAATTTCTTCCAACCCTGGACCATTTTAATTATCTTTCATCCGAATTTTGTAAAACCTTAATACTGAATCGAAGGTGCATAGGGCATAAGGTTATAATAATTTCTTCCAACCCTGGACCATTTTAATTGTTTTTCATCCAACTTTTGTTAAACCTTAATACTGAATTCAAGCTGCATAGGGCGTAAGGTTATATTAATTTCTTCTAACCTTGGACCATTTTAATTGTCCTTCATCTGACTTTAATACTCACTTGTACTTGCCAAGGGATCTGTTCTCGCTGAGCTCATCTTAGGATACCTGCGTTATCTTTTAACAGATGTGTTGCCCTATCCAAACTCCCCACCTGACAATGTCTTCCGCTAGGATTAGCCCGCGAAGGCAGGCCTTGGGTCCAAAAATGAGGGGCAGTGCCCCACCTCTGATTCATGGAATAAGTAAAATAACATGGTATTTCACTTTTGTTGTTTCCAGCTTCCATTTATCCTACCTCTCAAGTCATTTCACAAAGTCGAACTAGAGTCAAGGTCAACAGGGTCTTCGTGCTTGACCTATGTAGCCTGGCATAGGTCGCAAATGTGAAGATTTGATTTTTTGTTTGTGTTTCATATTGAGTGGGATAGAAAACCAAGCAAAACGAATAAAATAGGAATTACTTTAATATTAAAAATAACGATGATAAAGTATATTTTTTTAATCAAATAGAAGAATCAATTTTGCACTTAAAGAGTAACGATGATAAAGTATATTTTTTTTTATTAAATAGAAGAATCAATTTTGCACTTAAAGAGTAAAGTAATTTCCTTTTTGTATAGTTGGTTGTCAGTGATGGTTAATCTGTCTTTGAACCAATTTTTGGATTTTGTCGACGCCTTTGAATAGGTATTTGTTAAAATCCACCTACTCTCCACCTACTTCACCCACTTAAACCTACTCCACTAAACCTAACCCACTACACCACTACCACCTCCA